CCTCCATGTCGTCCTCCTCCATTTCCTCCTCCTCCACCTCCTCCTCCTCCCCCTCCTCCATCTCCTCCTCCTCCTCCATCTGCTCCTCCTCCTCCAACTCAATCTCCTCCATGTCGTCCTCCTCCATTTCCTCCTCCTCCACCTCCTCCTCCTCCCCCTCCTCCATCTCCTCCTCCTCCTCCATCTGCTCCTCCTCCTCCAACTCAATCTCCTCCATGTCGTCCTCCTCCATTTCCTCCTCCTCCACCTCCTCCTCCTCCCCCTCCTCCATCTCCTCCTCCTCCTCCATCTGCTCCTCCTCCTCCAACTCAATCTCCTCCATGTCGTCCTCCTCCATTTCCTCCTCCTCCACCTCCTCCTCCTCCCCCTCCTCCATCTCCTCCTCCTCCTCCATCTGCTCCTCCTCCTCCAACTCAATCTCCTCCATGTCGTCCTCCTCCATTTCCTCCTCCTCCACCTCCTCCTCCTCCCCCTCCTCCATCTCCTCCTCCTCCTCCATCTGCTCCTCCTCCTCCAACTCAATCTCCTCCATGTCGTCCTCCTCCATTTCCTCCTCCTCCACCTCCTCCTCCTCCCCCTCCTCCATCTCCTCCTCCTCCTCCATCTGCTCCTCCTCCTCCAACTCAATCTCCTCCATGTCGTCCTCCTCCATTTCCTCCTCCTCCACCTCCTCCTCCTCCCCCTCCTCCATCTCCTCCTCCTCCTCCATCTGCTCCTCCTCCTCCAACTCAATCTCCTCCATGTCGTCCTCCTCCATTTCCTCCTCCTCCACCTCCTCCTCCTCCCCCTCCTCCATCTCCTCCTCCTCCTCCATCTGCTCCTCCTCCTCCAACTCAATCTCCTCCATGTCGTCCTCCTCCATTTCCTCCTCCTCCACCTCCTCCTCCTCCCCCTCCTCCATCTCCTCCTCCTCCTCCATCTGCTCCTCCTCCTCCAACTCAATCTCCTCCATGTCGTCCTCCTCCATTTCCTCCTCCTCCACCTCCTCCTCCTCCCCCTCCTCCATCTCCTCCTCCTCCTCCATCTGCTCCTCCTCCTCCAACTCAATCTCCTCCATGTCGTCCTCCTCCATTTCCTCCTCCTCCACCTCCTCCTCTTCCACCTCCTCCTCCTCCATCTCCTCCTTTCTCTTTTCTGTGTTTTGTGTTAAATTTTTACTCCCTGGAGATATACCACTTACCTTTACCCAGACTTTTTTTGTTCTGGTACCGGGGATCGAACCCGGGTCCTTGCACTTGCAAGGCAGGCAGCAGGACCATGGAGCTGCATCCCCTGCCTGAACCCAGACATTTTCATGTTGTATTTTGAACACAGGGCTCAATCCTCTGTCCAGGGGGACTGCAGCTCTGGAAGTGTCTGCCTCAGCGTCCTGAGTCGGCGGTGCACCTCCCGCCCCACCACACCTCACGTCTATAGGAGAGAACCCGGCTGAAGGTCTCCAGAAGTCACACACAGCGGACCTTTTGACACTGCCTGTCTATCCCGACCATCCCCTCACATTCACTGGTTTGTTTGAAACGATTTCCTCCTAAATCTGAAATGTTCATTTATTTATTTATTTAGTTAGTCTTTTGAGACAGGGTCTCCTTATGTAGTTGAGACTGACCGGAACTCACTATGTAGCCCAAGCTGGTCTCGAACTCATGGCGATCCTCCCGCCTCAGCCTCCCCAGTGCTGGGATTACATGAAATGCTCTTCATTTAAATGCACAGCAGAAGGTCAGTCCAGATACACCGGACTGCGTTCATAAGTGAGGCAGCATTCCTTTTGCATCTGATTTTTTTTTCTTATTTTTGAGGCAGGGTCTCGCTATGTAGTCCAGGCCGGCCTTGAACTCACCAGGGAGCCCATGCCAGCTTCGAACTCTTAGAGATCCTCCTGCCTCAGCCTCCCACTCACTGGGATGATGGGTGCGCACCACCAAACCCAGCCAAATATTCTTCATCAAAATAAAAAGGAATAAGGTCCACACAAGGTCTGCGCATTTTTCACCAGGGTGAACACTGTGGCGCCTCTCAGAGCACCCCCGTGTCCCTTCCCCCGGGCGGGAGCTAAGCCAAACCCGACTTCCTGGCCAGGTGGAGGGTCCTCACCTCTCCCCTCCGTGGCTCCCTGCCCAGCGGCCGGCTTTCCCACTGCGGTCACTGAACGTTCAGCGCCGGGTGCTGTGGCCTCCTTGTCCTGCTCTAACGAAAAGGCCGGGGCGGGACAGGGTGGGGGAGCTTCGGGTTTGCGCGGAGTCCCAGCGGCCAGGCCCCGGGCGGTTCACCCTCTTGAGCTGCCGGGAGAGACGTCCAGGGCTGGGGCCGGGCCGGGCGGTCAGGGCGGGAGCCTTGAAATCAGCTTCATAAATAGCTAGCTTCTCTCTTTTCTGTCCTTCTCTGTCTCACTGCTATCTTGTTCCTGCTTCCCTGGGTCAGCACTCTAACAGTAAAATAGTTTTTTGTAAGCTCTACTTTGAGGTTCATCTTTCCGGGGGTTTGCAGACTAAGACATTGATCAACTCAGACAATGCTCATGGGTACCTAGAGTCATTCCTGGTCAAGTGAAATGTGAGTGTTCACAGCATTCCTTGTACTAAGAGATTAGGAAGGGTAGGGAGTTGAGCTGAGTAGTTATCAGATCTTCTTGTAGGTCCACCATGATTTTCTTAAATTTAATGTTTAGCAACAGAGTAGAAATGCATAAAGATGGAAATCGGCGAATTTTCATGAGAGCTTCAACTTTCCCGATCCGATGGCCCCGGAAAACCGACAGCAAGCACACGGCGGGCGGACAGACAGGCGGATGGACGTGGGGAAGGCAGCGCCCGGCCCCGAGTCCAGGCCTCCCACGGCCTCCCGGCCCCTGCCCGGCTCCCCCTCTGACTGACAGAGCAAACACTAATTCCCGAAATATTTAACAATTCAATTCAAATTACCAAAGCCACTTGATTAAAGGGTTTTCCCCATTTTAAAAGGGATCCGAGAGCAGCCCGAAGGCAGCTGAGAACTTCAAAGGACTCTGACTTGGCAAAGTTTAAAGTGCAGCTCTCCAGCCCCCTGCCAGGGTCCTCAGCCGGGAACCGGTCCCGGTCCCGGCCACGGTGCAGACGGCGGAGGGGCCCGGGCCT